CACTACCATGAAGGTCTACCAACAACTTGGGGCACTAGATATATCATGGTCTGTTTTATTGATCCTTGAACAGAGCACTGGACAGTTTTTTATCTATAAATTTTTATATGAAAATGATGATGCTTAACAGGCAATAAACAGAGTAAAATAATATTAAGATATTATTAAAGATGGATATGAAGACAAGTCTGCCGAARAGGATATGCATTTCAATAATTGCTAGTTTTAGGAAAAGGTGTACATTTGCTTTAAAGCAAGATCATGGCAGTTTGCAATGATAGATACTTGTGAACAATTTTCCTGAGCATGAAAAGATATCATGTCAATAAAATGGTTATGGTTGCATAGTTACCTTTCAGACTGGCTCAGAAACTGACAATAGTTCTGTCATTTTATCAATGACCAATAAATTGTTGCAGCGAAAAAGATCGGATTTTCATTTGTGTGAATCATTCTTGCAACACTTCTTACAACAACAGTCTTTCTTATCTCTCAGAAAGATATTGCTAATAAGAAATTTCTTATTAAATTATAAGCAGTTCTGCATACAAAACATTTATTTTTGTTTACAATAAAGCATAGCATTTTTGTACAAATTTTAAGTTAAGCTTGGCATAATATATGCTTCTAGTTCTATAGAGTGGTTTTCATTAACCCATGAAATACACTTTAGCGTATTACGCTTTATTACACTTTGACTATCACACTTTGTTTCACGGGGTAATGAGAACCACTCTAAAATATGCTAATCTGTCATATAATAATGAATATTTGTCATTTCTTGAGTATTGTGGCATTTCTATGGACATGGATTGAGAACATCAGATAGTACATCGGTTACTAACAGGGTACCAAGTGGTGGTTTTGCCCAGGTAACGTCATGGCAACATCGCATGATGTCATACTTCTATTGTTCTCTTTGGTTGCTTGTCATTACAAGTGTATGACAAGCGTTTACCTGTAAATTAGTGGTTGGAAGAAAGGGGTCAGAAAAATACATTGAAAGAGAACGTTTGAAGTTTGAAACTACTACAAAGGTTAATTTTTTGTAAGGACGTATTGTAGTTTTAAAAATCTATAATCCTTTCTTTCGTGTTATATTCATTGTTGTAAAAATTTTCCTCACAGTGTTCAAGTTTTCTGTGTTGCGCTTATGGCCAAATAAAGGAAACAGAGATTRCTTGCATGAAAACATATGGGTAGGGTATATAGAACTATATTAGGACTAAAGTAAGATTCCTGTCTGTTTGTGGATTTCCTGTGTATACACAAGGCAGAATGGGACTGAGAAGGGATATCYCCCCTATCATTACCATTACAGGAGGAAAATACAAGGACTATCACTTCCTGTGGAAGTGAGTAGAGCAAGATAACATACCTTCCTCATCCTCCTCCCATTGGTGGTCCAGGATTATAAGGCCCATTGTCTACAACAACAGTATATTTATGTTAGTGACAATATACCAGTTAAAGCAGATGGTAAAGAATGTATTTGTTAAAATTATAGTAAAATTACTTTTAAATGATGCTGAAAAGACAGGAAACTGCACAGCATGCTGTATTTATTTGATTTTTTATTTTATGTCAATATTAATGTTACCTACCTCCATCACCACGTATTCTACCAAACCGTCTGCCTGGCGGCTTTGGTGGCCTAAAATATGCACATGACGTGAGTGTCATTATAAAATTGACTATTGRTTTTTTTWAAATGATAATTACCCTCCACCAGGTCTGTTACTTGATCCTGAATATGAATTTCCACGTTTAGTTAAACCAGGCTGTGCAACAAAGGAAATATTGATGAGTTGAATTAGATAAATATTTGGGAAGATGATTCAGCATTTTACAAAAGTATAAAAGCTACAAAACTTATATCTCCTTTCCATTATTAAAAAATGTACTGTTTAAAATGTCATTCAAACTACAAGATCTAAATATATTAATTAACTGAATATACRACGTATTTAAAGACCTCATTTTAACAATATTATAAACTCAAGCTTATAAGTAAGTTAAGTCTTAAGTTTAATGTTGAAGGAAGCTGTGCTTGAGAGTAATRTATTTTTGAGACTATAAATAACTTACCGAGACCATTGTGTGAAAGCTGTAAAATAAGACGAACAAATCGTTAAGCTAATAATGTACAGTATTAAGATGATAAATGTCAGAAATGAATAAAATAATATACGATATTAGAWGTAAACTTTGAACTTACAAAAGAATAATAAAGTCAACAATTCCCCAGAAGAAATCTGAAATCGCTGACACMCGCCATATTGATCTTCTTTCTAAAACGTTACCTGGGACAATAAASAATAGTTTAGACCGGATTATWCAAAGCTAYGGTACAAAACATTATAAAAATAAGCGAAAAAAACATATTACCTTGACTAAGGTAAACCATTTTGAAAATTACGTGTACTGAATGATTCGCGAGGGACTAGGGAGAGAAACAAAGGAATCCCAAGATGTTTGAGAATWACAGCACTATAAAATGTATTATGTTATTGAGATTTGGAGCTTGAAAATAGGCAAAAATCATTATGAAGTTGCCAGGAGTATCTATTATTTTAAATTCAACATAGTTTTTCTYTCAAAAGTTAATTTTTCATTTTTAAACTACGATTGGGTTTCCTGTTGTAGAATTCCAAGCCTCGTTCCAAAACATTGTGTTGTTATGGGAACGTGTAGTTTTCAAAATGGCTTCCTTGTAGTAAATTCGAGTTTTTGCCGAAAAATCCTCTTTAAACTTAAAATTTAACTAAGCATTCAGTTTATTATATCAAAACAATAAAAAAGAAAGCGAAATATGGGGAAGAAAAAGACGAAAGAGCCTGAAGCTCCTCCAAAAGACGAGGTTTGTAATCATTGCATGGTCAGTCAGCACTGAACTGATTTCTAGCTTATTTTTGTCATATTTTTTTGAATTGACACRCTAAAGTTCGATGAAGCTTATAGTTTCTTACAATACTTTATGTTTAGTTGTGTTTTACTAAGAAAATGCARGGGTTTTGTTGTCATTGTTAAATATATTTTGTTTCAAATAGTTTGACCCATTGGAACTCGTGAGCAAGAAGCCCCACACGGTCGTGTTAATGCTTGATTCCCCTGAGGAAAATGTCCAGCAACTATCCTGTGAAGCCTTGTACAAGTTCTCTGAAAAATGTAAGTTTAATTAAATATACTAAGGTTGAAATGTGAGCAAGTAGATCATTGCTGAACAACTTTAAAACTAAAACAACAACAACAACAATCCCCAAAGTACTGTTGTACCATCCCAAACCTACTGTTCAATTATAGAGCAATACAATGAATAAYACACTCAGTGATGATAAAGATATTAATATCAATTAATGATAATTAATTACCAATGGTACATACCTAGGTGATGAAAATCGTCAGCTCTTATTGACGCTTGGTGCACTGGACCCCCTTCTAAGACTTGTTGCGTCAGAAGACAAAGTTGTACGTCGAAATGCAGCCATGTGTCTGGGCACACTGACACACAATGGTAATTTTGATATAAAGCTCTTATGGTTATTCCAATGTGTAGTAATATTTTGGCTTATATTGTTACCAGTTGCTGTTCATCGAGAACTAAGGAAGATGTCTTGTGTCACGCCATTGGTCACACTACTTGGTCCTGAGGGTAACATTATCAATTTAATATTTTAGTAGCTCATTACTTTCCTTATCATTAATCCATTTCTCTTCCCATCCATTCATTCATTTGTTCATTTATTCATTCATTTATCCAACCATCTATCCCATTCATTTATTTACATATAGATTCATTATCCATTCATTCAGTTATTGATTCATTCAGATATATGCCAATTTATGATATCCTTCCATCATTCCATTCATCCATCCATCCATATATCCATCCATTCATTCATCTTTCCATCCATTCATTCACTGTAAACCTTAGACTTTGTCCGTCAATTTTTCCATTGCACATACCAATCAATCTCTTTCTATCTCCCTCCCTCTTCAGAGGATGTCCTTTGTCATGAGTTTGCAACCTTAGCACTTGCCAACATGTCAGCGGATTTCTCAAGCAAAATTGAGATATTTGAACAAGGGGGACTGGAACCTTTAATAAGGCTGTTAGCATCACCTGACTGTGATGTTCAGGTAATTTTGAATGTAAAAAAATCAATCAGATTCAGTCAGCCAGTCAATCAACCAATCATTGGGTCACTCAATCAAGTTTATCAGACAATCAATCAATCAGTCAATGAATCGATCAGTCAGTCAGCCAGTCAATCAACCAATCATTGGGTCACTCAATCAAGTTTATCAGACAATCAATCAATCAGTCAATGAATCGATCAGTCAGTCAGCCAGTCAATCAACCAATCATTGGGTCACTCAATCAAGTTTATCAGACAATCAATCAATCAGTCAATGAATCGATCAGTCAGTCAGCCAGTCAATCAACCAATCATTGGGTCACTCAATCAAGTTTATCAGACAATCAATCAATCAGTCAATGAATC